TGCTGCTGCTGCTGCTGCTGCTGCTCCTGACAGCCGCTACCGAAGGCGCCTAAGCGGGCAGAGGGCTGCAGACGGACTCCGGGAAGGGGGACGCTTCTGTTCTCGCACGCTCTGCGGATCCCTCGTACTTGCTTAGGGGGCTGATGCTGAAGTGACTCCGGAGTTGTCTGGCTCTCCGGGCTGCGGGGAGCGCGAAGAAACCGGAGGAGAGCGAGAGGAGCAACAAGTCCGTCGGCGCCGTCGGGGAAAGAGCCTGGAAGCAGCACCTGACAAGGTTGCTCGGCGCCTCTTGTCGGCATATGCCATAAAAGGCAGCAGCTGGCGGAGGCTGAAGTCTGCCCTCTTCTTGGGGGCCCCCCGCGCCTCTTTGGATGGCAGTTTCAGAGCTACCTTGGGAATCCGGGAAGCCTGCATTGCACGCCACCTTTTGGCCCTGAAAGGGCCCGTCTTGGCTTTGGAGGGACCGATTCGAATTGTTGTCCCGTTCTTGTGGTGCCTGTTCCCTCTTGTGGCGGGGATCTTCGGGCAAAGCAGCCCTCCACAGAGAAGGAGGAGGGGGATTTTTGTGCTGCCTCTCCCAGCCAAGCATGGTGGGGAAAAGAAACCCCGATGCCAACGGGGAAGTCGGCTGCTTTGGCGGACAGCGCTTCTGTTCCCTCAGGTCTGCTCCGCCCGCCAACTCGCTGCTGGCCGCCTTCCTTCTCTCTGTGGGATCCATAGCTTCCTGCGTGTATCTGGGGATGAAGACCAACGACCTTCAGGCCAGGGTCTCTGCCATTGAGACGGCGCAGGGGGATATGGGTGCTGCCGCCGCTGCCGCCACTGCCGCCGCATCCTACCAGTCGCTGCCCAGCTATTCTTTGGATCAGCTGAATTCCCTGATGCAGGAAAAAGTGGAGCAACTTCTGGCTCAGGTGGGGCGGCCTTGAAAATTGAGGATGGGGTTGGCCATCCCAGGACGAGGCTGTTAGCCAGCCAGACAGCTCAGGGACATCTGTGCATTTGTGAAATGGATGGGCTGTATAGGCACCCTCTAGGAAGAGAATGGGCAATGTGTCTCTTCAGACTTCCCTAAGCAAGAACACACCAGTCCCAGCCAGCCCAGCCAGTTGTGAGGGATGACGGGAGCTGCAGCTCAGCAACCTCTGGAGGGCCACACATTGTCACCTCCTGCCCTTGTGCCTTGATCCTAACCAAAGGCAACAAAGGAAAGCATGTGTGTAGGATAGGGAGAAATGGAGTATGCATCTTGGGGAGGGGGAATGATGGGGGGGGAAGTGAAAGAGGAAAATGCTTTTGTTAGGAATTGCCTGATTGAAGAGATACGGTGGCAGTCAAATGTATTAATATGGCGCTGCATTTACTTTCCCCCTTTCCTGCACAAATTCAAGGCAATGTATATAATACACCCATGTTCCCATTTTTATCTTCGTTATAACCCTACGTGGTGTATTAAGTGAGAAACCGTGACTGTCCCAATGTGACCCATGGATGTCACAGCTAACTGAGGATTGAAACCTCTGTGTTCCAAATCCTACTTCAGCACTCTAACCACTACACTGCACTGGTTCTCTGGGCTAACCAATTTGAGAGTAATGTAAGTTGGAATGTACCTTCAGTCTCTTTCAAATGTCAGGCAGGCCTTCTCTTTGTTAGCATTGCTCTTTTATAGAATAAGAGTTACAACAAAGAGCATCCTATGCCCATATGGGCCTTTCCTTAAGATATCGTTACCACCCATCACCCCCCACAAGGGTTTAGAAGGAAAGGAGGGCCATGAATCTATAAACAAGTGTGCTGCCTCACCGTCTGGACATGGGAATTGTGCTCAGTTGAATAAACTAAATAAACAAGTGGTGGCTATCAGTTGCCTGGACAAATTCTTTAAAGCAAGGGTTATTATAGTGCTCAGGGAATTGCTATGAACTAGAGGCAATATGGGGCATTTGTTGCATTCCAGGAACTTGAAAAAGGAGACAGCGGCAACATTAGCAGGGCTCCGTCTTACATGTTTCAGAATGATTCTGTTCCAACTGTATTTCATTTTATTATGATTGTTACTTGGTTAGCATCATGGTTGACAAGAGTCCCACATAGGCATGTGTTTGTAAAGTAGAGATCCAAGTTTCAATGAGCTGCCAGAACCAGTCCCAAGAGACCACTTGGCAGCAACTAGAATTCACTTGGCAGGAGTTACTCCTATAATGTGGTAGCCGTTGACCTGCATATATAAAATATTCCTTGCTCTTTAATCTCTAATTTGCAGATATTTGCCCAAACCAAATTATTTGTATCTACACAGATACTGTGGGAAAAGATAGGCAATTGTTTTCATATGTAAGACGCAAACCGCCTCTTGGTGAAGAACAATACAGGGAACACCTTCATTTTCTTGGGCTTATGTGTGATATTTAAATTAGGGACAGCAATATGTGTCACTCCAGATGTTGTTGAATGCCATTGCCCATCATTTCCTGCCAGCATAGCCGATGATTACAGACGATAGGGTGGGACTCTAAAAACATCTGGAAGTCTGTGCTTGATTTACTCCTGATTTAAGCTATAGTTAAGATCAGAATGAACAAGTGATCAATTGATTAACATATAGAAACTGCAAACACCAAAAGTTAAGTGGGCTAATAAATATCAGTATATTGTATTTTTATTACTTACAAATAGAATAGATTTGACACCAGATCTCTCATTCAACTTTTGTTGCAAAGGACTGTTTTTCAAATGTTCTCTTTCTTCCCTGTAGAAGTCCTATGAACATATGGCAAAAATCAGAACAGCAAGAGAAGCTTCCTCAGAATGCAACTGCCCACCAGGTAAATGAGAAGAGCATCGAAACATATTAAAAAACAATCTTGACACTGCTTTTATGTAGTACATATAGATATACGTTCAGCATTGCCAGATATTGAACAACATATTGTCATTGTTCCTTTGATTATTTTATTGAAGAAGGATTCAGGAATAAAATACTGTACAGAGAGGTTAGTTCCTATATTCCAAAGGTTAGAGAAAATATCAGTGAATAATGGGGAAAATATCAATTATACTACAGTTATTTCCTACCTCCTCTCCCATTCCTGGGAAGGAAGCCCCTTTAATTCAATGGGGTATTTCTGGGTGGACATGGATAAGATTGCACAATATTAGTTAAAGAGAATCATAAACATAATATAACAAAGCAAATCTTATTCTCTGTAATGTGTGGTAAGACCTTAAACCTGTATAGTCTTAATATGTTCAATGTGATTTTAAACTTTCTTGCTAATTTAAAGCTCAGCAAATTTTATGGGACTCATTCCCTAGGAAATCCAGTTTAAGGTTACAGTCTAAGATTGTCATTGTAATTCTTCCTTACTGGAGAGGAAGCCCTACTGAATTCAATGATTTTTTTTTTATTTTTTAGAAGAAATATATCTGATTGCATTGTTTGATTGCAATCCCCTGTGTGTCTGTCTGGCATAAACCAGTGAGATGTTTTGAACATAGGAAGGGATATAAAAATGTCTTAAATAAATAAAGAATAATTGAACCCAGTGGGATGTACTTCTAAGTAAATAAGCGTTAGATGAAGGTTATAAAGCTAAAATCCTTTTCACATTTATTTAGCATTAAATCATATTGAATTGGGGCTTACTTTAAGTAGATAAATGTTCATAGGCTCATGCTGTTAATTCATCTGTTTTAAAGCACTTAGAACAGTGAGGTTTATTTCCAGATAAATGCATTTAAGAGTGTTCAGTGAATGAACACATAGTGAATCAAGCATTCCAGAAATGTTTGCATTTCAGGAGTAGATTCACATATTCTGTCATTAGACAGTATAGTCATCATCTGTGACTTGCCTCACTGAAAAGAGCAGTAAGTTAAGGGTACCGGTCAGTTAAAACTAAACCAAAAATTTATTTAATAATTGTTAATATTTGTTTTTCAGTTTGCACTGTAGAATACGTGCAAGCCAATTTGTGTTGTATTTGCATGCTATATATGTATTACTATACAGAATTTCTATGCACTGTTGCAATTCATTGTTTTCACTCGAATTTTTGAATAAGCAAACTTTTCAATGTTTGATTCTGTGAAAATGAGACCAATAATTTGTGGGAATCTATTACTTCCTTTTTAAAAAAAAAAGTTCCAGTGCTGTTTAGATGTGTATTTTTTCAATTATTTTCAGAAATTATAGTCTAAGTAGTTCTATTTTCTTCAGGCTCCTTGAAGTTAGAGTGGTGTACGGACTATTACAGTTACTTGTGTATGGTGTACTTCTGTGCCAGAATGGTGTTCACTAAAGAGAGTGGATCCTATGAACTATTTGGCCATCTAGACTTGAGAAGTAGTTGCCTTGCCAGGTACATATTAGGAATAAGATTAATCTGGTAGTTAGGTCATTAAAACTGTCTATATTTCATTCATCCAAACAGTATGGAATCAGTCCAAGGTTCTGACCCCCCCCCCCCCCCCC